TGCCCGAAAAAAATCTCTTTTATACAAGATACAAAAATAAATAGAAAATACAGTAAATATACAACCTCTATAAAACATTGCATGGTGGAAATAGCATATCGTGATTACTCATTTCGCTCAGAAAAAGTGTTAATAAAGTTATGGAAATCTGAATGAAATACTTGCAAATCTAAAAATAATAATAATAATCACACGTTATGTAACAAATCTAGGTCTATTTTTTTACATATATATATATAGCTATTGTTATTCACTCCTTATGAATATCTACACGTATGATATAAAACCGTTTTATCTACGAATAAAAGCCGCTCTTTACAACCATTTTTAGACGCTAATAATCGACTGGACTTTATTAAATGTGAAACCTTATAAAAATAATAATCATAAAAAGGCTTCCTGTCTTTAAAATACATCATTAACACATGTATATATATATTTTTTTTGTTACAAAAGAACACACAATTAGAACACATTCACTGCCACGTAAAGCCTTCCGAATCACTGGTTATTACGTTAGAAAATTTAGAAAGAAATAATGCGTGTGATGAAAGCAGTGCTAATCCACGCGCTCAGTAATTATCCTTTGCTCACGGCGGATGTCCTCTGCTTCTTGTTTCATTGCCTCTGCCTTTCGAGGTTTCTTTTTTGTCATTCATTTGGTTATTCATCTATTCTTTCGTTTTCGTTTTCGCTCGCTCTCTCTCTCTCTCTCTCTCTCTCTCTCTCTCTCTCTCTCTCTCTCTCTCTCTCTCTCTCTCTCTCTCTCTCTCTCTCTCTCTCTCTCTCTCTCTCTCTCTCTCTCTCTCTCTAACACGCACGCGCGCACGCACACGTAATTCCGCGTTACTGCTAACACGTACAGTTTTGGTGCAATCGGCAGCGGTAATAACAGCTGGAAATCTTGATTGGAACAAAAGATTTATGCGCCGCGGTACAATTTTTTCTCCCCTTTTTACCGTCGCTAATTTAATAACGCCCTAATCAATTGGATGGGAAAAAGCGCGGGGCTGAAAACGGAATGGTCTTGCGAGGATATTCGGCGCAAAATATCTTCATGGCATTTCGGATAAAATGGGCGACTTACATGGATTTACGGAACGTTATGACTTCAGGCGATTCACGACATGCTGTTTTGTATAATAAATTAGCTAATCTTAAATGCACTTGGGGTTTACTTATCTAATAATTTATTCCTTTGTTTATTGATTTATTTTGATTCCTCGAAAGTCGTCTCTAGCATCAGTTTTTCAGGTGCTTTTCGATGACGACGGTGGAGGCGCTGGGCTTGTAGATGACCCTCTTCTGGTCGGCCTTGACGCCGGCCAGGATGGCGGTCCGGGTGAGGTTGGAGCCGCACGGCGCCACGCGGGGCCCCTCCCGCTTCTCCGGCTTCCGCAGGGCGTCCTTCGCGTGGCCGAAGCTCGAGTTCTGGATGGGCGTGCAGTACGGACACCTGTACGGGTCCTTGGGGCCGGCCGAGGGCGCTCTGCAGCGGCAGGGTCTGTGGCTGGCCGAGGCGGGGCGGGAGGCGAGGGTCCGGGGCGCCCTGCCCTGGGCGGCAGGCGGAGGAGCAGGCTGGGCCTCGGACATCCTGTTGCGGCGGTCATCCTGAAGCTGCGACAGCCTCGCGCGCGTCTCCTCCCGCAGGGAATCGGGCGCGTAGTCGGAGGTGGCGGCGGGGCCGGGGACGCGCCTCCTGGGCACGGCCCCCTGCTCCTCCGCGCGGCCCCACCCTTCGTCCGAGGCGTCGCCGCCGTCGCGCGGGCCGCCGAAGGGGAAGCTCCTCGGGAGACCCGCCCTTTGCGCCTGCGTCGGGTAGGCGTCGCTGTCTCCACTCTCGAGGGACTCCTGCGATCCGAAAGGGCTGTCGGGGTACGTCCGGTGCTGCGTCGGGAGGCCGCGAGGGCCGTGCAGGGCGCTGCCGTCGTCGAAGCCGCCGCGCGACGCCCTCCCGTGGGTGTGTCGCTGCGCCTCCTCGCGGCTCGCACTGCCCCGCCGCCCCCAGGTCGCGGCCTCCGCGCCCCCGCCCGCTCCGCCCCCCGCTCCGCCTCTTAGGCCCCCTCGACTGAAATAGCCTCCTCCAGAGGCCTGCGGTTCGCCCGCACCTTCGGCCTGGAACCCGCCATCGCTCCCCGAGCGGCCGCGGGAGGGCTCGGGGGACCCGGGGGAGGAGGGGCCGGAGGAGGTGGAGGGCGGGGGAGGGTTGGGCGACGACCGCCCCTCCGCGCCCTCGTCGTAGCCGAGGCGTCTCGTGGCGGCGTCCTGTGGAAGAGGACGGGTTAGGACAGTGTTTCTCGCTCTCGGTCGGGCACGCCCTACTGAGCAGCTGTGCACATTACCGATGATGATGATGACAGAATGAAACAATTCACAAGAGAATATTCTAATGACAATACTAATACAAATACTAATATTAATAATAATAAATTAAAAATAATCATAATAACAATCAATATCAGAGAGAGAGAGAGAGAGAGAGAGAGAGAGAGAGAGAGAG